AATAATTTCGTATAGACTGCATTAACAGCTCATTCATTTTTGATCATTCACTCGATCGGAGTGCTAAAATTTATATGCGCATAAAGCGAGTTAACGCGGTATTACCTTCGCAGTTTTTATTCGTTACAAAATTACAAGAGAATAATTCTATCTGCGGGCGGCAGATAATATGCTAATATCGTAACGAATATCCGTGAAATATTAAAGTTTCCACAATTAGATGCTAATTCTTAACCACAAATTCGTAAAATCCCTTTCGCGATAAAAGACATTCCGTTATCCAAAACAACTATATCGAGCTTATCCGCTGCGTTTACAGAGCAAACACTCCTCTCTTAAAATATTTTCCTTGCAATTTTCAATCCTCACATCGATAACTCTTACAAGTTCCAACAAATTTTTAAAACCTTGTCTTACAATTTTTCTTCGAGAATCGCCACGAATTTATCAGACACATAAAACCGCAAAGGGTTAAGGGTGCACTCGTGTGCACAGAGCCCTGTTTTTGATCGCCATTGCAATCTGGACCCAATTCTTTCCACTTGCTGGACAGGGTGTATCGATTATCCGAAGTAAGTCCGACATGGTATCGGGGTCGAATCGGTCACTGACGAATCGACTCGATACGAGATTATTAATTACACGACTTCCATTCGGACGTGAATCGAATAAAGTTCTCACTCGACGATGAAGGATCTTGCGCCAAGAAAAATTTCTTGCCAGGTGTAGCTTCAATGAAATTCTATTCGAACATTAATTTCTTCCCATTTCAAATAGGGCTCACTTTTATTCTTTTTCTTCTTTTTATTCTTTTTCTTCTTCTTCATTCACACGACTATTTCCCTCGTTTATACGTGCTATTGTTTATGAGTAATCAATACATAGATAATTTATTTGTCACATAGTATAATTTGTGATAGTTTATATTTATGTTCATTGTGATTCATGGTGATTTTTAATTATTTCTGGTATTCACAATTTATAATGACTGATGGTATTCATAGTTTAGAATAATTTACAGTATCCATAACTTATAGTGACTTGTGGTATTCATAACTTACAATCATTTATACTATTCATAGTTTATAATAATTTATACTATTCATAACTTGTAATAATTTATAGAATTCATAGTTTATAATAATTTAGAATATTCATAATTTATAATGATTTAGAGTATTCATAATATATAATAATTTATAATATTCATAACTTATAATGATTTGTAGTTATTCATAATTTAGAATATTCATATCTTATAATGATTTATAAAATTTATAATTTATAATGATTTATAGAATTCATAATTTATAACAATTTAAAATATTCATAACATATAATGATTTACAAAATTCATAATTTAAAACAATTTAGAATATTCATATCTTATAATGATTTATAGAATTCATAATTTATAACAATTTAAAATATTCATAACATATAATGATTTACAAAATTCATAATTTAAAACAATTTAGAATATTCATATCTTATAATGATTTATAGAATTCATAATTTATAACAATTTAAAATATTCATAACATATAATGATTTACAAAATTCATAATTTAAAACAATTTAGAATATTCATATCTTATAATGATTTATAGAATTCATAATTTATAACAATTTAAAATATTCATAACATATAATGATTTACAAAATTCATAATTTAAAACAATTTAGAATATTCATATCTTATAATGATTTATAGAATTCATAATTTATAACAATTTAAAATATTCATAACTTATAATGATGTATAAAATTCATAATTTAAAACAATTTAGAATATTCATATTTAATATTGATTTATAGTATTCATAATTGAAAACAATTTATAATATTCATAACTTATAATGATTTATAAAATTCATAATTTAAAACAATTTAGAATATTTATAACTTATAATGATTTATAAAATTCATAATTTAAAACAAATTAGAATATTCATATCTTACAATGATTTATAGAATTCAACATTTATAATAATTTAAAATATTCAAACTTACAATGATTTATAAAATTCATAATTTATAATAATTTAAAATATTCATAACTTATAATGATTTACAAAATTCATAATTTAAAACAATTTAGAATATTCATATTTAATATTGATTTATAGTATTCATAATTGAAAACAATTTATAATATTCATAACTTATAATGATTTATAAAATTCATAATTTAAAACAATTTAGAATATTCATGTTTAATATTGATTTATAGTATTCATAATTTATAATAATTTAAAATATTCATAACTTATAATGATTTATAAAATTCATAATTTAAAACAATTTAGAATATTCATGTTTAATATTGATTTATAGTATTCATAATTTATAATAATTTAAAATATTCATAACTTATAATGATTTACAAAATTCATAATTTAAAACAATTTAGAATATTCATATTTAATATTGATTTATAGTATTGATAATTTAAAACAATTTATAAAATTCATAGCTCATAATTCGTTTATAATAATACATTTCGAGTTAGAGAAAATCGTTGGATTTACGTGACACCTCTAAATAAAGTCAGGCCGACCGTGACTTAATTTATGCAAAGTTGATAGTGGCTCTACGACAACTACTGTTAGGTAGCCGCGTCAAGGCGTCGCCCTTAATCGGCCTTTAATTAACTATCCCGATAGTGAGCGCGAATTACGCGTTGCAACCTGTACTTTTCGCTAGACGTATCCGGAGCACGAAATCGGAGCGGAACGCGGAAAAGGAGTCGCCTTGGGACCCCTTATCGCAAGGACTTCCCGTTGTTCACCTCCTCGTCATCTAAAGCATCGTTCACAATAACTGCAGACAATTTACACGGAGGAACAGTTTGTTGCTTTGTCCTCCGAGTCATTTTTCCCTATCTTGCGAAAATTCAGCTGAGATTAAAATTAGGTTGTCTTTGTTACAGAAATGGTAACGAGTTGCTGTTGCGAATTTGTAGAGTTTTTATATTTAAAACATTTCCGAAATTTTTAGCGTTGGAGGTTTTAAGTTTGCAAACTTTATTTTTTAATTCTCAAATTTTTACATTTACAAGATTTGCCATTTTCATTCATTAAGAATTTTTAATCACCTTTAATCTACTTCACATTTAATTCTAAGTAATTGCAAGAGTCGCCGGATTCTCCAAATGTATATTAACTTTGCCATACGCTATGACCATATCTTTTCGTTTACCCTTCAGAACCACTCATGATTAAATTTAGCCCTACATCCCCTACATTTTGCCCCAAAATTAATATACGGCACAATGGTAGCAACTTAGCAAAGTTCATTTTACCCGTGAAGAATCGTAACAGTGATATCTGGCCCCTGTCTTCTCCGTATCACATCGGACAGCGAAGCGTTAAATTAATAATACATGATTCCAGGGAAGTCGAGCATCGAATTTACTCGAGCTATTTCATATACATATTAGGTGAATTTCTGAAACAATTAAGCTTCAAGGTACATCGTTCGTATCCCTTTGATGGTTCCCGTAACAGGAGACAGCTATTCGCGAAACTTTGAATATGTATTCGTCGCATGTTCTCCTATTCACTCGCTGCGAATTGCTTCGGAAGTAAATCGTGCGTGTCTCTGGCAGAAATTCTCTTACAGCTACGTTCCTGACATCCCCTGCATAATTCTTTCATGGATACTACACAAAAATCGTACTATAAATTGCACGTTACCTTTGAGAAAACATTTAAATTGCGCTACAATATTGTTACACTTGTAACACATATGTGACACACGTCACATGTGACTAACCAGACTCGTATCTTCATTACAAATAAATTTTAATTATGAACTATGTAATCAGGCATCAAGCTATAAATTGTAAACATTACCTTCAAGAAAAAATTCAAATCGCGTTACAATAGCGTTACACTCGTGACGCATATGTGACGCACTTCACATGTGAGCAAGCAGATTTATATTTTCACAATTGAATTTTAGGTACAATTCTAATTATGAAGTATGTAATCAAGGGTCGAGGTATAATTTGTATGCATTGTCTTTAAAAAAAACATTTAACTAGTGTCACACTCGTGACGCACATATGACACACTTCACATGTGACTGATCAGACTCGTACTTTCACTACAATTGAGTTTTATATTCAATTCTAATTATGAACTGTGTAATCAAGGGTCGAGGTATAATTTGTATACATTATATTGAAAAAAACATTTAACTAGTGTCACACTCGTGACGCACATATGACGCACTTCACATGTGACTGACCAGACTCGTACTTTCACTACAATTGAGTTTTATATTCAATTTTAATTATGAACTATGTAATCCAGGATTAAGGTATAATTTGTATACATTGTCTTTAATAAAACATTTAACTAGTGTCACACTCGTGACGCACATATGACACACTTCACATGTGACTGATCAGACTCGTACTTTCACTACAATTCAGTTTTATATTCAATTCTAATTATGAACTATGTAATCCAGGATTAAGGTATAATTTGTATACATTATCTTTGAAAAAAGCATTTAACTCATGTCACACTCGTGACGCACATATGACGCGCTTCATACGTGGCCAGCCAGACTTGTACATTCCCTACAACTGAATTTTATATTCAATTATAATTATGATCCATGTAATCAGAAATCGTTGAACATAAAATGTGTCTAACTTTTTAATCATCATTTATCTTCATAATGACTGCTTAGAAAATTGTAGGTTAATTACGGAACGATCGGAACATGGTTCACGAAAACGCGAAGAATATTCGTCTCACGTATTGCCGTTTGCGAGTGAATTATTGTCGAATTCAATCTCGTTTCTAATGTCCTCGATTGTGCACGAAGCTTTAGTCCGCGCACAATCACGAAAACGTACAGAGTATAGCTGTGCAGGGCAGCGGAAATATTTTCATCCTTCTTTTGTGTTCTATCACGAAGAAGCGGAGAAAACGCCTCGTATCACGCGACAAACCGACAGAATATACGGAGTTCGTCAGACACGCGTTTCCACAGTGTAGGCCTGTGACGAGTCGACAAGTCTGCTTCCTTGGGAAACTGTCCTCGAGTCGAGATTAAGGTGACACGTTTTGCTTAACATATTAATTACAAACGAAGAAAACTGCATTATTACCAAGAATTTCGATAACCATAGATGGTTCACAAGTCATCGTAATTTTCTCACAAATTCAAATTCGATTATTTCAAAATTTAAAAATCTTGAATTTACAATTTTAAATATTCTCAAAGCAAAAATTTAGAAATTGGTAATTGTATCAAAATGAAATCATATGTGACATGTGTATATTGTATCTCACACATGTTACACATATGTCACTTCACCTTGGCAATCAACTTAAAATTATATTAAAATTGCACTCTCGTTAAAGCAGTTTCATTGATTTTTAGTATAATAAAATGTTTTATTTATCGATGCATAAATTTGATCGTTCAGGTGCGCAAAACAAGACGAACAGCGAAACGAATTTTCATCTCACTACACTGGTTCTCGGTTCGTTGACACGCAGACGCATTTATGCGAAACATTATATATGCGCTTTTTAATTTCATACGATTTTTGCACAGCTTCGATAGCTCAGAGATTTCGAACGTTCGAGATAGGAAAATAGTGACGTATTGTTTCCGGGATTTGTTTGCATGTATTCATTTCGTTTCGAGATAACACGTGGAAAATTGAAACAAGCGTGCAATTACTGTTTCAGAGGTACTCGGATTTAGAGTTTCTGGCCTTGTTAAAATATTGAACTCGCGAGGAACGTTGCAAACAATTCTACTATGGATTTGTAAATTTTATTAACTTTTCAAACTTCTATTTTAAAAATATTTCTCTTTCACTTTTTTTAATTTTCAGATACTCAGACTTCAAATTCTCAAATTTTTATTTACAAATTTTCTTCTCAAAAATTCTCAAATTTCTGTTCACAAATTTTCTTCTAAAAAATTCTCAAATTTTTAATTTTTCAGATGAGCAAAGATTACCAAAATTTTGTTCCTAAATTTCAGAGCTTCAAAATTAAAAAATTGTCAATCTCAGAGCTTTAAAATTTTCAATCTTCCAAAACTTCAATATGTAAAAATTTTCAATCTCGCAACTCTTTCAAACCCTTCAAATTTTCAATTTCCTCAGAATTTCCCCGAAAAAGAACGTCATCAAAATTTCCACCCCCGAAATTCCATTGACCATCAGATTCTTTGTTACCCGCCTTTATTTTGATTTCAAACGAATTCTGAAATAAAGCAATTACTCGCAGTAAACTTTCTCCAAAAGCAATTTCGTTAGCGCTTCCCGAAGTTAGCAAAACAGTTGCAAACACGTTTGTTTACTGCGAGCGTTTACGTTTGAAAAGTAGGATAAACCAGAAACGCAAAAGCGAGTTCGCCCTTCGCAGGGCATTTACATGTCGAGGAATAATTAAGAAACTTTCGGTTATTCTATCTTATGTTTTTGATCGAAAGATTCATGCAGACTGTAACTAGTTATGGTCTGTTTATTAACCATCGCTATAACCATATCGCGATAACATTGAAGTATTAAAACTATTCGTATGATAAACAGTATGAGGGAGATAAATTTACGCTAATGAGCGATGCACATTAATTTTCATATCATAATATAATTTTAACCGACCATTGTTTGTTACGTGGCAGTTTATTTCATTTGTGTCACATAACTGACCGCATATACACTCACACATATATCTCTGTTATGTGACCGTAATAATTTTAGTGGAAAAATATTTTCGTACGTATTATAATTGAGGGCTGCATTATGTTCCTTGAACATTATAATAATATAAGGCTATAATAAAAAACTAACCTAGATGAACAGTGAACATCTGCAAAAAAATAATAAAGGATCGAATCTTGCTTTCAGAATTGATAATATTCAATGTACTCCATAAAAAAATCACAGACCTATCAAAAGGTTATGAATATAATAAAAGACCACTGGTTTGCTATTTATTTTAACTAAAACACCACATGTTAATAAACAATTTAGTTAACGTTGAAAGTTAATAAAAAAATTCCCTCAATGTTGAATGCTAATAATTTCTATCAACATTGAATGTTAATAAATATTTCTATCAATGTTGAATATTAATAAATAATTGTGTAAGAAGAATAAATAAAGAATCTACAATATTTCTGACAATGTTGAATGTTAATAAATATTTCTATCAATGTTGAATATTAATAAATAATTGTGTAAGAAGAATAAATAAAGAGTCTACAATATTTCTGACAATGTTGAATGTTAATAAACATTTCCATCGATGTTGAATATTAATAAATAATTGTATAAGAAGAATAAAGGGTCTACGATAAATGAAGGTCACGAATAAAGGGTCTAACAGAATATCACACACATAAATCGATAGAGCTCTTCAATTTTTAATTAATCAATGAACATGAACTGTTAATTGAACCGCGAATAAAAACGTGTCACCGTCGGTTCGCGCCATTCCACAAAGTTGATCCTCGTCGCGTCGACAGAAGAAGAAGAAGAAGAAAAAAAAGTATCTCGACGTCCGTGTTCGATGATCGACTTTCATCCCTCTCGCAGCTATCGACGCAATCAACGATGCAGGGATCGCGAGAGCTCGAGGGCGGCAACTTCCGCGTGGCCCTTTTTTCCTCCCCAAGATGAAAGAGCTTCGATCTTGCTTCCGGCCGTTACTCTCCTAAGGGTGATAGAACACAGGGGTGCAGGGTCGTTGACCTTGTTTTGCGTCCATCGCTCGTCAACCCCCCTTCGATAAAGATATTCTGGGCCCGTGGGGCTTCCCTCCATTCTTTAAACAGGGCCGCCCCCTTTTTTGGCTAGGGGCTGACTAGAGTACGTAATTGCTTTAACACCGCTGTACAAAGTGCACCCTTTGGAAAATGGCGATATAGCTGAATTTGCGGGTTATGGGAAATTATGTGTTTTAGGGGGTAATGGTGTACTTGTGCACACTGCTGAGTTGGAAATGTGCTCTCATATTTTCAACATTTTATACTTCGTTTTATTATATTAGGTTAGAATTCTATTTTACGTTTACGAATTCACAAATCTGTAATATATGAAATATTTCAATTCTTGTATCTTCATGGCAGGTATTTTATTATGTATTTATCGAGATATTTTGTATCCTGATTTTCATGTACAAACAGGGATGTAGAAAATGAAAATTTGCAACCTTAGAAATTTCTAAAAGTTTAAATTAATTGTGGGAATTTATCTTCGAATTCAGATAGCAACCTCAAATTTTTAAATTATCAAGTACAAAAATTTACAAGTCTCGTTTTTACAAATTTTTATAGTAAACCACTTTTAAATCCTACACTATAAACATCTAATTTACAAAATGTTCTAATATCTGTCTCTGAATGTCTCCTTTCAAGAGGGAACTTCCAAACAGAGAACACAGTATAGTGTTCAAAGTGGACTCTCACGAATACGCAGTCACTCACAAATCAACCCCTAATTTCTGACCCACATCTTCGAGTCTCCGTTTGAAATATCAGGTAGACGTCCAGTATAATTAGATTGTTGAAACCGAATTCGCGTCGATTTACGAGTGCACGGTCGAGGAGAAGCTCGAGACGCGTCGGCGTCGGCGCCGGCGTCGATCCTCTACAAAATTTGGAATTCTAGGCGCCAGTGAAACGAGGACGCCGTACGTTTGGGGGTGAATAACCGAAAGCTGCGTCTTCATGGTAAATAAGACGAGGGGAGAAAAAGGGGATGAAAATGTCTGTTAAAGATCCGAATCCCCCCGTTTACGATGGGCGACTGGACGATAACGCGGCACGGTTTCCCGCGGACGTCAGCGGAAAATTTGCGATTACTCGTACTGAAATCGAGACGAGAAATCGATGTGGATAAACTAGGGGAAGTTCTTTGGAGGATACATTGTGCCTCTGATTGAGGAAAGTCATCTATCTTTACCGTGAAACTAGTATGTTAGTTTTTTTCACTGAGAAAAAACTTTAAGATGTGGGGAACTTGATTGGTTGCACTTTTTATGATTTAGTTTGATAAGATTCCATTTGTTCGATATGATCGATACGATCGATATGATTCAATTTCATGCGATTCAATTCGATGTGGAAGTTTGTCGCCACGCGATTCAATTCCGCGCAATCGAATTGAACGTATTTCGATAGCATACGGTTCGATTGATGGTTTCTCGACGATTTTATTTGAGGTGATTCAATTCTTCATTTTCCAGTTCGACGAAATTCAATTCAGAGGGAGTTTATTGTATACGAGGCAATTTACAATGCGAAGCGATTCAATTTCATGTGATCCAATTTTATATTCTAATTGATTTAGTTATGTGTGATTCAATTCTGCAGAATTCAAGTTTCAATTTATATGCAATTCAATTCCATACAATTCAGGTCTCAATTCTAATCGATTCAATTCTATAAAATTCAATTTTCAATTCCAATCGATTCAATTCTGTGCAATTCAATTTTCAATTCCGTTCAATTTAATATTCAATTCTGTGCAATTCAATTTTCAGTTCCATGCAATTCAATTTTCAATTCCAATCGATTCAATTCTGTACAATTGAATTTTCAGTTCCATGCAATTGAATTTACAATTCAATTAAATTCAATTCTATGTGATTCAATGTTCAATTCCAATTGATTCAATTCCAAGCAATTGAATTTTCAATTACATGCAATTCAATTTTCAATTCTGTCAGATTCAACTCCTCTAGAGTGAAAGATCAGTTCCAATTGATTCAATTCCAGGCAATTCAATTTTCAATTGAAACCGATTCAATTCCATGGAATTCAATTTTCAATTTTGTCTAATTTAATTCCACTAGAGTAAATGTTCAATTGAAACTGATTCAATTCCATGCAATTCTATGTTCAATTTAAACCGATTCAATTCCATGCAGTTCAATTTTCAATTACGTCGAATCTAATTGCACTCGATGGAATGTTCAATTGAAACCGATTCAATGCCATGCAGTTCTATGTTCAATTTAAACCAATTCAATTCCACGCAGTTCAATTTTCAATTTTGTCGAATTTAACTGCACCTGATAGAATGTTTAA